ACTCTTTGAAGTATTTTACTGTCGCGTCCGTCATTTCCGGGAAGTTAACCACACCAATTTTAATAACTTTTAGCTTTGCACGTTGACTGTCCATCATGCGACGTTTTAAACATGTAACAAATTAGCACGATAAAAAGTAGTTCTTTACTTCAAATTATATTCTTTGTTTTGTAAACTAGGAATGAGGCATCGCGTCCCCAAGCCAACTAATCAATTTTGAACGAACACATTTTGGCTTGTATTATTTGCCCCAACAGTTGCTTACATTTTCAGTTTCAGAATATCAATGAGTGATATTTTATTTTTATCGCCGGTATTGTAGTTTCAACACGTTCTAAAACCGGTATCTTATGCTCGCTGTATTTTACAATTAAAATCTTGTTTGTGGGATATCTACCTACAATTCCAAAATTTAGACATTTACTGTGCGTACCTACTTTCAAGAAACGCGACAGTATTTCAGCCTTGACCTTTTGCGGTTCATTTATTTCTCCTAGCTCTGTATATTGTTTTATGAACATATAAGCTACTTATCGCTAATTAAATAATATGAAATGTAGTTATAGATCTGGCATAAGTTCGTTGAAACCAATGTGAGGACTGTGGATGTAAAAACAATTTCACTTGTCGTTCATTGTTTAGGTCCTGTACGTAGTCTATTTCGGTATAGTCGTTGCTTGCCCACAACAGCTTCCGCCGCCATAAATCTGGGATAACGGGAACAGGGAGCACGTCATAACATGTTAATATCCCAAGAATGATAGATAGACATCGCAGGAATTTATGAGTTTCTGTTGCCTATGCGTCTCCGTTAGATACAGCAAATTCCGTGGTCAAACTAGACACTTTTATTCACTACATTTTTTGCATTCAATCGAATATTGGACTCTGAGACGTACCAAACGAGCTGAAGTAATCAATGAGATTAACTAGACAAGCGTCGACGTGTATTGAGATTAATTACTGTAACAACGAGCAGACTTTTATACAAAACAAACTAAATCGATTTCGTAGCGTGATTTGCTTACAAGAATAATAAAGGCCTAACTTTCGAGAGGTCGTGGCAATAGACCTTTTAAATGTTCGGCTTATTAAAGTTGTATATACGGATTCTAACCGGTGAAAAATAAAAAAACTTGCTCGACTGTTTTAGTAGACGTCTCATTACCATAGCACCTGTACGATAAACTTGATGAAAAAAATGCGATAAAAAAACTGACATCGTCCTTGGATTCTGCGTTAATGCATGACCGCGTGAAGCCTAATGTTAAAAATACTTCAAAACACCAATTGTTTTAAAGTGTACTAAACTCTGCATCGATCTTATTCTACCTAGTAACAGCATTCAATGGGTATTTACGACGAGTGAGACTGAGAATCAGCCACAAAATATGCGATTACTACATTTTTACGAGCTGCTATTATTCTCTAACAATATTTAAGTTTTTCTTATAAGTCTTCATGGTTTAAAACCAGAATGTGAGGTCAAATGCGAAAAAAAAAACGTTCCTAAATCTAAGGCGGACTCAGACTCGGTATCAGACTTGTGATTTACGATACATGCGTATCGAATTCGGGTACGAGTGTACATTTTATAAATGCATGCTCGTTTATGTTTTAACAAATGATATAACTAACTTAAGTGTATCGTACGGTCCGTACGAGGCGGTCTGCACGTGATCATAAAAGCGAAAATGAATAATATTGATCGGAATCTGAGCGGTGTATCAAGAAACATTCTATAGTTTCTTCGTACAGTCGCAGACTACTAATAAACTTATAGCAAATATAATTACCGTACTCTTGGAAAAAATGTGAGACTTTGAGGTGGGTCTTAACGCTACGTACGGTTATTCTTATGCTAATCATCACGCGTAACTGCCATAACTCAGATGTTGCAAACTAAAATACAAATTACTTGATTACAGGCATCTATCTTGCTTGTTGATAACGGTGGTTGAGGCCAAGCACTAAAAGCAATAATATGTTAAATTGCTGTGAACAACTGATTCGCATAAATACAAGGTGTTCAAACAGAGAGTTCATTTATGTATTTTTGTTTTGTATGCATACATTTTCCAAGGTCCTCTCATTTTTGCAACAGAACGTTCGAATATAAATTCTGCTATGTATATTACCTAGCTATAGACAGACTTCGTAATTAATTGGACGCCCAGTTGCGTCGTCAACTCGCCAATCAGATCCCTATGAAAAATCGATACTTACATAGCCAACATAAAATGTGAAACGAATTTTACAATTTTAAAGTAAATTTTGGCATTCATTATCAATTAACATAATTAAGAAATATCACTGAATAAGATTTATTTGACATTGAAATCTAGAATATCAAGTAATTCAGATTTTTCTAGATTTACATAAAACTCCGCTAGTTCTCAGACTGGTCTGGCGTCAGACAAGGGAAAGAGGTCGTCGAATCTTAGAAATATTTATATGTATTTTGCCCTTGAAAGGACGGCGAGTCCTAAACTCATTGACCGAGAGTTTGCACACATGCGTCCCGAAATACATACACATGAAGACTGCTTGTTATTATACTAAAATACAAAAACAAACCCTTTAAGTAGCTAGGCAAAGTATCGATTTGGTATATACGTTGATGACGCAGCCGTATTCATTCTACGTATTTTTATCCTCCTGGGTTTATTATGATTCAACGCAGGATCCGCCTAGGCAGGACTTTTAGGACCATCTATTTTGGGCAAGGCCAACAGTCGAGACGTCTACATCTACAACAGGATTCTCACTAGACTCAATTAATCGAGTTTGTAATTTATTTGAAGACGATTCTATTAAATTATTAGCATTTAAGGAAATGTACAAAATTTTGCGCGTATCAAATTTAAGCAATTTTTGACTAAAACAAAATAAAAGAAAGCCTAAGTAAATTTTCGCATTTTCATCTCGTGCGTGACGTCAATGAACATAGCGGGAAAGGCGGTGTGTGGCGAGAATTTATTAATACGTACGTACACAGTCAGGGGCGATATATCAATAGACCACTTAGCTGTCGAGTTTAGTAAGCTTTAATTATCAGTGCATTGGACCGAGTTATCTCTACAAACTACAGTTACGTCATGTGGAAAACAATATGAGTATTACAGCGTCGACCAAAAGATTGTTATCAGACATTCAGGCCTTTGAAGCTCCAATTACTTTACTTCTTATATAAAGTATTGCGGTGAGACTGCAATATTTAATGTTTATAATAATGCTTGACTTGTTTGTTACAAAAGGAGTGTTTTCTTTTGCAACTCAAAAGACAGGTGAATGGCGAAATGCTAAAGTACACGGACATCCGCGCATAAGAGAGCCTATTATAATAAGTGGTTTGTATCTTTGAGCTGTTGTTGTTGGTCAAGAAAATAAAATTTAGAAGCAATATTATAGTCATAAAAGAATACTGTTTACTTCGTTCGAAGTAGGGAATGAGTCATAGTTACATATTGATACTGACTGTTGCTGATATGGACGTCGAAATATTGATTGCAACTTTGCAATTACTGGAAGATTAACTGAGTCAGAGACCGCCCCGCTCCTTAATTTCAAGGTAGCGAACACGTGTCATAGTTAATAGTATTTCGTTTACAACTTAGGATTTATCGCAAGAAAAGGCATAAAACTTAACACTTTATAGCTGATGGATATTGTACCTACCTAGATCTGATAACAGAACACAATCAATATGTAACTGCAGTATCGGCGTTACTGAGTGCAACCATAGCTAACTATCCCTAGCGGACTAGAATTACTTAACGACTGACGAATACGTTACGTTTTAAAAATAATACATCGTTACTCACCATCTAGATGTCACGGCACAATACTTACTTTCTACTTTCTCTCCTAAAACTGTTGTTTGGTACATAATTATCCCGAGTAAGAGGCACGTAGGGAGGCACCTAGAGCTTTTACTCTAATTTGTGGCAGTCTATTTAGGAAAATTAGTTAGGAGCACATTAATGTATTTCAGTATTATCTTATCGGCTTCCTATGCTCCAGCGCGTCCCCCAAGATAACACGCATCCTTGTCGGCGTACGAGCCGCGCTCCCGCGCGCTCTACGCCTACCCGCACTACCCTAATGGACTGGCTCGAAGCCTTAAAAATGTATAAGAGATTAAAGCTCAGTTTTCATTCGTCCACGACGGCATTAAATAATAAATACATTCACACGGCTTGATACGCTACATTTTAGAAATTAGAAGGCCTGACTTGCTACTGCGCCAAAAATAATATTGAATAAGTAACTAATGACGGGATAAAACAATAACGGGAACCATAAACCCTGAGGTAACATAAACAAATAAAAACTTATTTCTGATCTCTCACTACATACACAACATGCAATATTTAAGCGGTATTACACAGCGACCTGCCGCCGACAGACAATACACACAACTATAAATTATGTACATGTTAACTACTGCCACAAATAAGTATATTATGTATTATTACGTATAATAAGTAAATAAAGGACACGACAGGGCGGGGGATATGTATATAGAAAATAAAAAATAGAGAAATATACAATAAACTCTATTTAAACATGAAATTTATTAAAGATAAAAACATACAATGTTTTGTTTTACACAAAATAAAATACCTGGAGGGTTATTGTCGAGCGCCAGGGCGGCATTAGCGGAGGCGGGGCGCGCCCTGGCGCCCGCGGCAGATATACATAGTGCGACAGGTCCATATATAGTCCAATAATATAATACATTAGCATATGATAAAAGTGTACACATATATGATACTGTCAAGCCAACTAAAACTCACAAAAAAGTCATGTCGCGCTCTCGCGAATATAAAACTATGTTAAATCTTACAAAAATACTTATGTGACTAATTTGAAATGCACATATAGGATCTCGCTTTCCGTCTACAAAAATAATCTGAAATTGGAATGAAAATCTTTCTTAAGCATTCGGCCTGGGAACGATCACAAAAGTTACGGCGTTCACAACGTCCGCACACAATTTAATTATTTCTCTTCTGAGTCTTAAAGCTAACCGATAGAACCTGTCCGTTGAGCGTATATCCATTGAGCGCTTGTATGGCCATAGCGGCCTCGTCATACTCACGCATATTCACAAATGCAAAACCTTTGTTTTTCTTTGTTTCAGGATCTTTGATCACTTTTATGGAATCAATTGCACCATAAGGACCAAAGAGTTGCCATAGAGCCAGCTCCTCAGTGTCCTCACCAATGTTGTATACATACACTGTGGTCTGATGCGGAGTGGGCGCCGCGCCCAGCAGCGGCACGGGGCTGGCCGGCGCCCCCAGTAGCGGCAACGGCGTGTGGTTGGTGGCTGCCATGGGGTTAAAGCGTTGCTGCCCCTTGTTAATGAACGGCAACGCCTTACCAGGCGAAGGCAGCAGTGGCGGAGGCGAGGCTTGCGGGAACCCGGGGGCGAAGGCAGCTGGCCGCGCTCCGAATGCTGCGCTCAAGTTGGTGCCGTTAAAGGCGGCGGGCGCAGTGCCGTTGAAAACTGCTGTGGCGCCGTTGTAGGCAAGCGGCGCAGCGCCCACTGCGACACGGGGCGTCGGCCGCGGCGCGTTCTTGTTAGCATTTGGTTTGTTCGCGAATTTGACCACTATGGCGCCTGCAGCCGGGATCGGCGACTGTCCGTTCATATGTTTGATTGCCTCCTCAGCCTGCGGCCTCGTCTCGTAACACACGAACCCGATGCCTTGCGAGACCCGACTGTTCGTTATTACACCGAACTGACTGAATAAACTATTAAGACGCTCTAACGTCATGTCTGGAGGTAGATTGCTAATGTAAAGGTTAGATTCCGTGTCAGGTTTGTGGCTGACCTTATTTTCGGGGTTCAGTAATGCGAATGACACTTTCAGGGTTTTTCCTTGCATGAGGAGGCCGTTGAATGCCGCCCGCGCCTTTTCAGCATCCTCATGTTTCTCGTACTCGACGAAGCCGTAACCTCGGTTGGCTATTAATTTACAGCTCTCTATCTTGCCCATGGCGGAGAAGAGTGCGTACATCATATCACGCGTCATCAGCTCGGGTATGTAATTGACCATGAGTTTGGTCGGTGACACATTGTTGGCGTCGCCGCCGCCATTCTCCATCTCGTTTTTAATCATTGTTCTTTTACAGTAAAACTACACTACAGAAAACAAAATACTAATAAAAATCACACTATGAACAGTTGTTTACTTCATTTGCGACATGTATAACGAACAAAGAACGAACACAAAAAGTCCCAGTCACACTAAAATGCCACAGCGACGCCGGTTCACAAGTTCATCATCACACGAACGAGTTTGTTTTTGGAATGTTACCAGGTTTCGCCCTTTTTGTTTGGCAAGTACGAAATGCAACTAGTTGTTGAATTATTACATTTCACTTCAATTATTTCCGTTATTTGTTCGACTTTAATACAATGAATTATTTAATTGGCACGTGTTTGGATATTTGGTTACTGTCAAAATAATTATTTTATAATTTTTTGATCGCGTGGCACATTTTTATTACGTTGTCTATGATATAAATTAAAACCGTTATAACCTCTGCACACGTATGTAACTCCCAAAAATATCGCATATTAGCCTAAATATTAATTTTAACAGCTTTCTACCTGTTAACATGCAACCCAAAGGGATAAAATAGACATATATTATTATCTTTAAAAAAATATTTTATAACATGAGAGTACGATGTACGTTAATTAGTTTTTTTTTAATTATGATAAAATAGTATATCCTGGACCTGGATTTTTCACGAACAATAGAATCATTTTTCTCAATTACAAACAAAACTTTTCAAAATTATAAATAGGCAGAACAGGTAAAGTTCTGATTAGTCTATGGTACCACAAATACATTTCCAGAAATTTAATTTAAATTATAAAACCTTTGAAAGTTAACGCAAATAAGTATGCATATTAAATTCGTTTACCGCTTCAAAGGAATTATTATCGTTTGTTGTTTTCTTAGAATAATGGTTTTAGGAATTGGTAAATTTTAACTTGTCACACCAATCAGCTGGTTGACAGCAGCAAGTTGTTGTGTCAAGTAAAATGTCAACATGAATGAAACAGCTGCGTGTGACAGAGATTGTCAAAATGAACAATTTCGTTTCTGTCAACTGTCAAGTCAAGTGTGAATCTGTATCTGTCAAAAACTCGAATGAAATCAGTCGATGTATAAACTAGATTTTAATTTAAAATAATTCAATTTTCTGAGTATATCAACATGTTCCTAACAAACATTCTGTGCAAGAAGGCGAAAAGCAAGTCGGTTTCGTAAATATGTGTAGTTTTAACTTATAAATTTGACGTATTCAGACGATAAATCCTATTTGAATTTTCAGGTTGATTATGGTTCTGATGGAGAGTGTAGTGTCTGGTCATCAAACTACGATGATAAGGGAGCGTTTAGCCGATAAATTAGAGTTTATACGCTTCGACCCTTACAGTGAGTAACATTAGACATTGATAACCTCAAATCAAATATACTGAATGATTATGAAGAAATGTCAAATTGTGTGACAAAAATCCCCAATGAAGGTCGCTTATTGTTAACCATAATGCAGAATATCCACCAATAAAAAGGACAAATGATTTGATAAAAGTATGTACTGTAGCAAGGAGACGCTGAAAGCAGGTCGCGTCAACAAATGACTTTACAGTTATAGTATAAACCTAGAATTTAAGTATAATACATCGTGTTATGCTTAAAAATCGTTCTAGATATAGATTTTTAATTGTCTACTTAACTCTATCATTTAAAAATGTAAGACTTAATTTGTGTTGTTAATCTTATAGGTTCTGAGAATGTAACTCTTTCCTCGGTTTTAATTACTATTTATTTAGTGAATACCTAATTAATTGTCTAACATCTATGATACTAAAATTGTTTTTCAGTATATGGCACAAGGCACAACCTATACTTACACCTTTTACATGGTTCTCTTAACATCACTCTCTGTACTATATTAATAATTATCTAATAAGTATGATATACTTTTGAAAAAGATGTTCATGTTCCAAAAAATACCTCAGTGATACTTTGTTTGCCTCGGGAATCGGACCCAAGACATTTTGGTCAGTCATTCTTTCAATTACCCAATTGACGAGGCAGTCTACTCTAGATACTACTTTGTAGATTTAGACCTTGTGCCTCAAAAAGCAATTTGCGCAGACATTTTTGGGAACTGTTATAGATAACAAAGAGTTTTATTTTTAACTGACTTAAAAATATGGAGGTTCTCCATTTGACCTGTATGTTTGTTTGTTTGTGCACGATTTTCTTGTGATTGGCTAAACCTATTCTGATAAGATTTTCAGAATTAGAAGCTTTTAGAATATTAATTAACCGACTTCTAAAAAGAGAAAGCTAAATTCGGTTTATTTAACATATTTTATAAAATAATTATTTCTGTTTCAGTTCAACAAGAAAGTTTATACAAGGAAAGGAAGAAGATCAGGAGCATAAAGTCATCATAAGATAGGCAGAAATATGTATAGGTATGTAGGTAATAGGATATAAATAATATACAACATGTTTTAAATGTTATAATTTAGTTATTGTACTTTAAACAATAAATAAATCTTTGGATACAATGTGTTTCACTATACTAGAAAATTATGAAACTTCTCTGTCATTAAGTACTGCATGTTACAATTTGCTACCAATTTTAATTGTACAGAGCAGAGTCTAATATATGTTCAATATAATGAGTTTAGAATATATGCTTTACTTTCCAAGTTCTTACGGCTAAGTCCGATACTGCATGCAATTGAATAAATTTCAAAATTACATGTAGTGCTTCTTCGTCCAATGTGCCTTATTCAGACAAAAAGTGCTAATAGTGCTAATTAAAATGAATTTACAACATAAAACACCTTCAATTTATAATTAATAAACTTCCGTCGCTACTACGTACGACCAGACAAACATTCTAATTCTAATAAAATTTTCAAAAGAGAATTTTCAATTTATATAATAATAATATAGGCCAAATATTGATTAATACATATATTTTCATATCACAATACAAGAACTTAATTAAATTTAAATTTTCGTTTATGATATAATTTAATTTAATAATAATAATAATTAAAATGTTTTTACTACGTTCTCATATTCGAATAATTTATGAATAATTTAATTATTCTGAATTTTTAATAAAATGCAATTCCGATATTTACCAATACATATTCCATTTTCGATAAATGTAAATATTAACTTTCCATTCAATAAATGTTTCAAACACTTAATATTTACTCTCACTGTATTCTTTATATCTATCTCAAATCTTACTAGAAGATTAAATATGACTTACACAAGTCCTCAAAATCCCTTTTAAGGCTTTCTAAGGTCGCCGAGTTACAGCAACAATGATATTATTGAAATTAACATAATTTGAATGAAATTGACTAGAATATAACATTAATGTACTTAGGCACCTAAAAGAATCTATTATTAAATATTCCAATAATTGAATAAATACAGCGTTTATAAATATTTACACACAGGTGCAGGTGAAATAATTTTGAAATTTAATATTGACATAAAAGAGTCCTTAATTGATTTATAATCAAATATTACAATACTTATATGCTACTTATAATATATAGTATGAGGAAATTCTTTGGCTTATGATAATATGTATAATTAAGATTAAAAAGATGTGAAATTATTGGAAGTTGGTCCTCTAACGACACTGTATTGATAGTAAATATATTTTTAATGGAATGATATTTTAGTAAGTAAGAGATTTATATATTAACCTTTATTTGAAGTCTGCTTGAAAGCTGATGAACTATTTTATATATTAAAATTGAATATGCTGAGATTGAACTAGTATATTGGAGATGAACAAGAACCATAGAGTAAGTAGTAATAGAGACAGGGAAGACATATAGGCACAAGATGCTGTTTCCTTTGCCTTACTGACTTTTCCTAATTTGTTTACAGGACAACCCATAAACAACAATGTTGTATACATGTCCATAATCTGTTCCCTATGCTAGGATTTTCTCTATATTTTTTTCCAATACTTACTTTCCACTATTTTCTCCAATTAGGAAGAAATTAGAATTCTTAAACTAGATATTTATTTCATATACATAGTTTAATTAAACATTCTTAGCCTAAACAGTTTAAAATTTAACAGATAGGTACAATAAAATTTTTAATTTCTTAGAACAATCGAAATAAGTATGATTGATCCCATATCAACAATTTGAAATTTAGACAAACAAGAAACAATTTTTTAGAGGTACATATAAAAATACATAATGTCATGGAATACATAAGAATTTATTGAATTTAGTAAATAGAATAATAATTGGAAACATTTTTACAATAAGTAATAAATAAAGAAAATATACAATAACAGTACCTATACGACTAGATTGTCACTGAATTGTAATATTACATTGTTCAATAATGAAATATGTAATTAATGTTCACAATAATTCATTTAAAATGTTCCAGAATTTTCTTAGAACGATTATTAGATATTTTCAGTTCAATTTCTATTTTTCTGATATTCTAGTAATCTATTCGACTAACAGCGTTTTAATAGTTTATTTAGAATATGTCTACATAATATTGTATACCCGTAAATTAATGTAATTAACTGAATTTACGAAAACTGACATTATAATATTTACCGCCATTTTTGATCTATAGTCTATGGCGGAAGCGGTAAAATGCTTTGGTCTTGCATGTATAAAAAAAAATAACAAAACAGGCAGGGTAGAGATAGAAATACACATTTTTTGTATCTTAGGGCTTTAACTTAAAACTTACTACTAGGTAATATTTGAACATATTAAAAGGTTCACTGATTGATCAGACAGGCGGCAATACTAATTGTCAGTTCGTTCCATCGCTTCCAACGTAGTTAACTAACATAGCTTACTCTATAATTTATCAATTTCGCAAGGCCGAAAAATCACTTTATTTTTTTATTTCTCGTTTAATTTTAATCGTTCCAATTTTTCGATAATAACAATAGATACAGCTACCAACTCGGTCAAAAATTGGCCTTTTCAACAATTCCTTCCTTGGTCTGAGACCGCAACACCCTTTTTTCCAACGTAACATACCTACCGTAAATTAATCGATAAATAATTTTTAATAATAAATTCAAGAATTAAAGAATCATATTTTTTTAACTGGCACGCTTGTTTTTGTCTCATTCTTAATTTAAATCTTTCTACACATTGATAATCTTACTTTCCCGCCAAGCGTGCCATCAAAACAATCTTAGAATTACGTACAATTAAAAAATTTAAACATCAAAACGTCATACATGATTTTATAATAATAAACAATTAAAAATAATTTTAAAACTCTTAAATATATTTAACTACCAATCCTAATTTTAAAATGTTAAATTTTATAGTTTTTTTTTATACTAGAGAGATCACTTAAGTCATTCACTCACTTTTCAAGTCATTCGCTCCAAGAGTGGAGCTATGTCAGGGTACTTTCATGCAAAGAACTCCGTTTTTGTTGTCATGTCGAACTCGGACTCCTCCATCTTGTACATCTCGATCAGCTAGAAATATTCCCAAAGTTCATTAATTAACATTTTGTCATACACTAACTTAATAAAACTAAAAGATAATGAAGCATTTATTAAGTTTTTTTTATGGCATAAACCGGTAAACGAGCTGACGGATCACCTGATGGACCTTAATCGGCGTCGCCCATGGACACCTGGAACACCAAAGGCGTTACAAGTGCGTTACCGGCTTTTTGGGGATTAGGAGTTTGAGGATCGTTGGGGATTCAGGAATTGGGGAGATTGGGGAAGGGGTGGGTAATTGGGCCTCCGGTAACCTCACTCACACGACGAAACACAGAGCAAGCGTTGCTTCACGTCGATTTTCTGCTCGGCCGTGGTATCACTCACTCCGGTCAAGCCGGCCCATTCGTGCCGAAGCATGGCTCTCCTACACTTATAATTTTTCAATTTTCATAATTTACTCGAACTTGCTACAGTTAAGTTTATTGCTTTACCCTTCTTTTCGAGATTTAAGATGTCAAACTAACTTTTTCATACGAAATTAAACTTTAACTACTGAGTAATACGTACGTTATCAATATCCTTAGAGAGTTCCTCCATCTGCTTGTCATGGGTCACCTTAAGCTTTTCCTTCTCACGGTTTTGCTTAATGGTTTGAGTCTGAAAGCATGTTTAATTAAAATTAAAAACCATTACAGTTTCAAAAATTACTTATTGATTGCCAAAAATTTCTATTATTTTAAAGAGTTATGCTAAGCAGTTCTAAGTTCTTACCTTCCTCTCATCCAAGAACTTCTTGGTGTTGTTCTGTTTCTTCTCCCTAAGCCGTCGGTCCTTCTCCTGTTTGGTCTTCAAGGTCTTGTCATTGGCGACCTCCTTGCTAGTCTCCATGCTAATCTTGGCTTGACGGGCATTCATTTCTTTCAGTTCCCTTAATTTTTGGAGAGAGGAAAATATATTATTAACTTAATTGAAAATCATGCTGGACTTTGGGTTCCCTATGAGTCTGTTCTATAAGAGAGGTTCTATCTGGTCTGTGTTCTTTTTTTTAAGGGGGGAAAATCATTGAATGCCTTCTCCCGCCTGGGTGAGGCGGAAGGGAGTGTCAGACTCTTACTGACTAAAAACTACCCCGTTCCTTCTCCTGCACTTCGAGCCGGAGCCCCGGTGACCCGTTAGGTTCTCCGCGGCACCTGGTCTGTGGTCCAGGTAGTTTTATGGCCGTTTCCACCACTCGACTTTTAACCATATCATAACTAAAAGTTACTTAGCATGACGTAGCACCTAAACTAAGCCCTTGTAGAATTAAGTGTCACTTATAGGTTGGTGAAAACCAAAGTTTCTATCACCTACCTTAGTTTAGGGGTTTCGTAAAATTTAGGAGAAGTTGATGAAACGAGCATTAGATAGATATCGTACATTTAATATAGTTTAAGATATATAGTTACATAAATTAGGAGTTCGAGTATCCATACTATACAGGGTGGAATTTTCTAATGCCAAGAGGCATTATAGTAAACTTCATTAATTGAATGAAAGGAGTTGAGTTGAGTCGAGAGTTGGAGTTCAGAATACGATTTATAACATTCACCATAACATGCTATTAAAGGTTGCTAGAAATGAATTCGTTAGTGTGTATCCAAGAAAATGGAGCCCGTTTCGAGTAAAAGAGATTGTTAAAGAGATTTCAGCCTTATTGACCCTAACGATGGATGCAATAAAAGTACAGACTTTAACAGATTTTGGTCGGGTCGACTACCGTGTGCGGCAAGCGAATTTTTAAAAGTCTTTGGGTAATAGCAGTGTTCTTTCTTTTAAAAAATAAAGGAATGTTTTGAGTAAAATTTTCTATCTAAAGTAATGTGAGAATAGATGTTCCGACTTCCGAACATCATCATGTAGCCATAATCCTGGCAATGTTTATTCATAGTGTATTCGCAATCATAAAACGAGTGATGTTTGCGATCCATCATAGATTCAATGTTTATGATAGCTATGGAATATATAAATCAGTGCAAAATTATTTATGTTACGAGTTCATAATAAATGATAGCTGTAGATAAATTACATGTGTCGGAAATAACTGTTTCAAATATGATTTTTTTACTATAACTGTTGTATGTATCTTACGTTTCTTTTAATTTTAAAGATGAGACTTTAGACCTTACGAGCGGTCGCAAGTTCGACTGCCGAGCAAGGGGTCTCGAGTTCGATTCCCGGGTCGGGAAAAGTATTAGAATACATAGATTAAAACTCCAATATTACTAGGTTTTAAAAAAAATCTCATTAGTAGCACGAAGTTTGGAATTGTGCCCGGTATATGGCAATAGGCTCACCCTCTATTACATGGGACTCAAAACATAAATAGTGAAAAGTGGGTGTACCTCCTCCATAATAAATATGATGATGAATTTCAGATGTCTTTAAAGCCTTTACCTCTCATGTTTTCCCTCGAGCTGTTTCATCTGTGCCAGCTGGGTAGCTTCCATCATCTTCTTCAGCAGGTCACGTTGCTCGTTGAGCCGGCTGCGGGCGCTGGTCCACTCCTCCACCCTGTGCTTGGCTACTAGCTCGCTCCAAGCTGTAGCTTGCTCATTCACCAGTTTGCGGAAGGAAGCATCATTGCTTAGCTGGTCCTTACTGGAATTTGAGAATTGGCAATTAATAATCGTTGTTTAGATTAGGTATCATTTAAATTCTATGTTTAGGTATACCTAAAAAGGTTTTTTTTTCGTTGTTTACGTTGCCCCACCCCAGCATTTTCTCCTGTGTCGTGGGTGCATTTACAAACATACAAGCTCACATACACATGACACCCAGACCCGGAACAACAATCCGTGGATCACACAAATAGTTGTTCCGTGCGGGAATCGAACCCGCGACACGTTGCACGGCAGTCAGTTGCCCAACCACTGCGCCAACCTTGCAGTCAAAGTCAAGTCAATATTATAACGCGAATGTCCAAATACTCAAGTTTAACCCATATATCCTCAAGCGGTCACCGGTGACCGCTCCACTAACTACATTATAGACCTTATTTCCAATGTTTAGAGACTACTTTTGTATGATCACGTAATCACTGTACGTCACTACAGTGACGAATTTTCTTTGTAAAGTGACAGAGATGGCACGATACTTGTAGAAGTACAAATTAAAATTGAGTAGCCTTAACTAGCTTTCAGTAGACGGGCGAAAGTTCCTATCTATCGTTTCAATGAACCCACACTCCATTAAAAGAATAATAAATCACACTGCATGTGAAAACAACGTCATTTAAAAATGCAATCTTTATGTATCTTTACTTAATAATATAATATATAATATATAATATATAATATAATATATAATTATATAATAATATTATAAATTGGAAAGTGAGTTTGTTTGTTTGTTTGTTTGTTCCGCTTTCACGACGTAACTACTAAACCGATTGCTTTAAATTTTTGCAGAGGTAAAGTTAGAAGTCTGGATTAAATAATAGGGTACTTTTTATCCCGGAAAAATTTGATATTTCTAAGGGAAAACAAAAGTATTGGTATAGATGGCGCTGTGTGTATTGGTATACGTCACATAGGGTACTTTTATCCTTTTGTAACGCGAGCGAAGCCGCGGGTAAAAGCTAGTAGAATAATAAATCACGCTGCATGTGAAAACAACATCATTTAAAAATGCAATAATGCATAAATCCAGAGAGAAAACAGTGCCCGAAAGAGAACATTATTCCAAGAAGGTATTTCAGTGTCAATAAATATTTTTATTTTTCTCAATGAAACCGTGGTAAACATCTTTCTCCTCGGTCTTTGTTTACGAATGCTTGCATTTATAAATACAAATCGGGGGAACGTTAAACAGATATGTTATTTCCAAGGATATCTGCACAATTCAGAAATGTGTTATAAACACGTGTTGGTATTTTATTATTAAATTCATCAGTGTTTAAACTGATAATAAACTAACGAGTTTAGTATACCTAATAGTTAAGTATTAATAGAATCCAGAATACCTACTGACCCACCATAAGCTTATGCTCAAAAACATTTTATTTCGAAGTCTGCTGCTTGCTCTGAGGGTCAATTTTGTTTAACCCCTGGAGCGTCCTTATGAGCACCCGGTGGATCATAAGAAAAAATGCTCAATGCTGCTTTCTCTTTTATAAAATCTATTATTAATGTTTTGTTTTTATTTTGACTGTATTTTTTATTTCTATTGTAACGATCCTTGTTTTCGTGTGCCAATGGCCAAATAAATGCATTTACTTTCTTTCTCCAAATGTCACGTGTGCACCCGGTGTGTGATCATAAGGAACGCGGACGCTCGACGGGTTAAGAAAATGTGAAGAATTCCAATCCTGTAGTTCAATCAATGTGATGAATGGGAAAATGGGTGGAGTGCTAATTTAGCTAAGTGCGATTGGGAGTTTGTTATGTTGTTTTTTTTTTAGAAAATGTTTTGTATATTATTTATACTTTGTGTCCTACAAATTTTGACACTTAAATTGAAGATTTGAAAACTGAACAATTTCACAAATCACCTTACTTAATGAAATATTTTCGCAAATCCTCAATCAATCAATTAATCAATCAAACTCATTCTAATTAGACTTGCGTGCGGTTTTTACTAAACGAAATCAAGTCTTATAAGATTTAATTCAAAAATATTATAGTTAATTAGGTAGGTAACACTTGTGTGACCCTTCAATCGTACTGTTTTTGACAAATAACAAATATCAACTCACTTCTTTCCTTTAATCATCTTCTCCAGCGCAGAGCATTGGGTCTTCTGCAGTGCCATCTTCTCCTTAGCATGGCGCTTCCTCATGGCTTCCAACTCCTTCTGCTGCTTCCTGCCAGTCTTCAGGAAGCCTTTCTCTTGGCGAAGAGACTCCACTGTGATCGGCTCGAAGACTAGAGGAGGTTCTACAATGAAATTGAGATGAATAAAATTTTAGGTTTAAATTATTCATTTTGTTATAATTTATGTAAAAAACGTCTGTATCGATTTTGATAAAATGTGGCATGGTTTTTGCTAATTATTGTACGTGCTTCTTGACAATATTTCTGCTAACTTTATTTTTTATGGAGAGGTCGGCAAACGAGCAGACCGATCACCTGATAATGGCATTAGTTGGCATTCAAATTTCTTTCATATTTCACTCTAATTCGTAGGTTTCACTAAAATATTTAATAAAAAACTCTGGTGATAATCTCTATTATCACTACACATTCAGCACTTTTCCTAAACACGCTACACATTCATGAAAATAATAATAAAAAATCTTATTATAATTCAAGAAACATAAACACAAGACCCAAAAACAATTAGATACTATCACGTAAACACACTTTTCTTTCCTTTAACCATTGTCCTACAATAATACTGTATTTTCTTACACCACTTTAACAAACAACACAATTTATTGTAGTAAATAAAAACACACCTAAACAAAATGATACTGAGCTCATTTTGCCACGAACTTGAGCAAAACTCGTCAGCAGCCGAGAGCATGTAGTGATGATCTGATACAAAACATGTGTATCGTGAAATATTTAAGGTAATGCGTTTGGGATGTGGTCTGAGTTATAAGCTGAGCGATTTGATGAGAATTACAGGTGTGATTTGGGCAGAATAAAAGTGTTGTTTGGTTTGAATAGTGAAAGCAAAGGTGCACATTATGCACCTTTGCTTTCACTTTGCACTGTACAATGTAACACCCACTTTTCCTATTTATGTTATTTAGTCCCATGTAATAGGGGGGTGAGCCTATTGCCATATACCGGGCACAATTCCAGACTCCGTGCTACTACTGAGATTTTTAGACCCAGTAATACTTTGCCCGACCCGGGAATCGAATCCGAGACCCCTTGCCCGGTAGTCGCACATCGTCACATCATCAAAGTTGTATTATAACGTTGTTGTAATAGCGTTTACGCAGCGCGGGTTTTTATAAGTTTCAAGTTCAAATTCATGGAAACTACTAAACCGATTTTAATGAAACTAGTTACCCAGGTAATTATTACGGCAGGTGACCATAGATCAAAGTCCAAAAAACTAGTCCAAACATTTTAAACGCACTTAGTTTTCTTTTAGACTATATTCCATACCCATAAGACTTAACTGATAAAGCCAGAGACTGAATACGGTTAAGGTATAACGTTACGGTACTGGTATAAAATAAGTATTTATTAACTCGTCGAGTACCGGTTTTATAGACACAATTAAAGAACAATAGGTTGCGGTCACCGGTGACCGCTTGGTGTTTGACAGTTTAATATGAAAGCTATACCGTTATTTAATCTTTATGCGATATGGGTACCGAAAAACTTAGATTTGACTGTTCATCATCAACAGCCTATAAACTGCTGAGCAAAGCCTCTTCTCACACGAAGAAGGTTTGAGCATTAATCACCACGCTTTCTCAATGCGGGTTGGCGTTTACAGACTTTTATTTAGAAATTATAAGCCCAGGTTTCCTCAAAATGTTTTCCTTCACCGTCTGTCAGTGGTGTCTGAATAATCTTAGAAAGTATATATAACTCGGAAAAAGTCACATTGGTACTTGCCGTTGATAGGTTTCGAATCCGCACCCTCATGCATGAGAAGCGGGCGTCTTAAACCTTCGGATCACCGCGACACAGATTTGACCGTTGCTCGACGTAAAGCGTGAGGTGCGAGGGGTGTGTAGCGAACATAGATATAACAACTATATTTAATACATATTTCTGTGGGTGGAAGCAGCGGCAACCGGTAAGCGCACGCCTTTGTGTGCGCCCTATTTTTCGAGTTTGGTCACCAAACCCGCTACCTCTTTCACTTTACACCACGCTCCAAAACGGAATGATTCTTAAAATATCTACTGCATGTCATACACTGCGTTAGTTTAGTTAAGCGTCAGTGTAAATACAGCACACAAATTATGAATCCCTATCTATTTGCAGCTTCGCAGATCTGCAAGCTGACCAGTTAAAACAGATTTCAGTGGTAAAAATTCTATAGTTTATGTTCTTACACGTGGTTTTACTCGGAAATGGGCGGCAAAACAGAGAGATATAACCAGTATAGTTAGACCTTGCATTTCGTATGTTTTGTATGAGTTAGGAGGTCAAGTTATGATGGTGGTGTATTTTAATGTGCTGTTTCTGGAGTTTAGTTTATAATCGTGTCTGTGTTATTGTGATTGGAATGTGTGTGGATTGAGATATTCGTGTTGATAGGAATGTTGTATGGACTGTATGGTTTATAGAAGTTGCGCAAACTGCCTGCATGCTATGTAGGTAATTAGGTTGATAGATTAAGAGGGTCTGTGCCTTTGTTTTAGTTTTAGTAGGTTTCAGTCTTTTCCAGGTGTTTCGTGATAATTTAACTATTATGTAATTAAACCAGTATATTTTCTATTTAAGATAACAAGTTTGCTGTTAAAGACTACGTTGTTAACTCTATACCTACCTATGTTGGATTTAGATCCAAGCATAGCGTTACTAGTTACACATTGAAATTAAACTTATACAACAATTTCAGAAGTACCTATTTCAGTCTAAAATATACCTTAAGCCAAGACACAAAGGTAGGTACAAAATTCATACTAACAATGATACCGAAAACTTCCACAAACCACAACCAATCCGATACCATGCTAAAAGGGACCATAAATCAATAGAGTAAGAGCATAAAATTGCATTTCACTAACCTTCTTTCTTCTCCTCGATCTGCACTTTCTTCTCCGGGCCAGTCTCCTCAATGCCCAACTGCTTGACTTTGTCATTTCTTTCCTTAGCAGCACCCATGAACGCTCGGGGATCCGACAGAGCCGCCATGAAATCTGATTGAAAATAATTAGGCATGTTAAAAGTAGTAAATAGAAAACTGTCAAAGACAAATCTACTAACACACACACAACTATGAAATCTCTTCAAACATTTGTAGTGTCTTATGCACCATTAGAAAGGTTAGGTGTAATATGCAACTGTAGCCAAATGCCATTCAGCGCTTGTCTACACGTAGAATAGAAAACCAAATTATATAGAATTGACGTAAATTTTGACACTTGTCAGTGTCATCCCCATATATTTTGATTTCTACTCTCTCTGTAGACAAGCGCTAAAGTGGCGTTTGGCTAAAGGCCAAGAATACCTTTGCCTGCGTTTTTCCTACAGGTATTTCGAAAAATCTTACCCTATCTCTTGATTCCCTCTTATTTTCTCTAAGGAACACAAATGTCAAACTTTAGCTACCTTTACCTAGTAATTTTGGCTGTTCATTGTCTGCCAATCCTTCGATCTCTAATTAATGATTAATCCTGATTCAGAATTACGATCCAAGCAATTAAACTTTATCAAAAGTATACAAATACTGTTTTATACCTTCAAACCCATCAGGCACGTAGATCTTCAGCTCGATATTACAGAACAACATGGGCAGCGACATGGGGAAGTTGGCTTCAGTCCTGAGTGAGATGTGGCGGTACCCAGCCTGGAGACCATCTAGAGGCAGGATGCGCTGGCCCAGCAGCTTGCTGTTCTCATCGTATACACCGAAACGAAGCACTGCTAAGTCTGGTAGTACCACCTATGGAGTAATATTTTGTGATTAATTGTGATGAATTGAAAGTAGTCTAAATTGTTGTTATATGTACTTTATATTGACTGCCTCGTTGGCCGAGTGGTCGCAAGTGCGATTGCCGGGCAAGGGGTCTTGCGTTGGATTCCAGAGACGGGCAAAGTATTAAGGGTTTTTTTTTAATTCTCAGTAGTAGCACAGAGTCTGGAATTGTGCCCGGTATATGGCAATAGGCTAACCCCCTATTACATGGGACTCATAACATAAATAGTGAAAAGTGGGTGTTACATGTACAGCGGCATAATGTGCACCTCTGCCTAAACCTTCGGGGATAAAAGGCGTGATGTTATGTTAATAATTTACCTTTCGGAACAAGAACGGCTCCTCGTTGTAGACCGGATTCAGACCATTAGCTGGCACCATGCGAGTCCTAAACTCCTTACGGATGGTATCTGACGGTAGACCGTACATGTCCACCTCTACGTATGTACCGATCTTTTTGTCTGACAAGAACTGGCCGGCGATGACCTGGTGGCAAATGAAAATGTTTAATTGAGTACAGCGTTTATTATTATTAGAAATCTGATTATTATGCAGTATAAAAGTGCCAATAATGTACCAAAAAGGTTGAATAAGCATGTCTAAAAATAAGCGCAGACTTTGGAGTTCGGACAATATACTGGCACAATTTCTAGAGAAACGTGTTTTAAAATGGAGTTTTAGCTAAATATTATCAGTCGGTGAGAGTATAATGTGGGTTGTCCTCAATGTCACATTTGATTAACGCCTAGTTTTGGGTGTACAGTGAAATTCTTTTACATTGACACATAATAAACATTGTGTTAGACAATGATATTTTCACCAATTTTAATGATTTTACCTGCACAGAACACTGAGCAGCAATCACACCGTCTACAGGAGCATCAGCGAAGGGATCGAAGCTCCTGTCAGCTCGTCGCATGAAATCAGGCTTCAGAAGGTAACCGCAGTTTCCATTGTACTCGAACTTGCCCTGGTTCAGCTGCATCGGCAGGTCAGACGTTTGGAAGTTGAGGGACACCATCTGACAGCCGGCGTTCCAGAACACCTGGGAAGAAAAAGAGTTATTTAATCTGTCAAACACCAAGCGGTCACCGGTGACCGCGACCTATTGTTCTTTAATTGTGTCTATAAAACCGGTACTCGACGAGTTAATCAATCTGTTGTGCTGATAAACTTTGTATCTGAGAAGATATTTATTTTTTGTATATTTTTGGTAACTTTTATATTCTACTAAACGGACCGAGTTGTTTTTGAGATATTCCAATAAACCAACGCAGTTAACGAGAAGGTACGACAAGATACCTCGTTTACTACTCGTAATAACCAGCATTAGACACGTCTGTACACTCTAAACTACTACTTACTTTCACCAAATCTCGTTTAGGCCCTTGTATTCTGGGGTCATAGCGAGATAGTGACCAAACGTCGGCCGATCAAATATAAAAAAGTCATACTTTCCCCTATACTTATTATAATCTTAGTTCAAAGACAAAGACAAAATTTGATTCAGTAGAAATGAAAATCTCAATAACACGATGACGGTATTAGTACCTGTGGCATGTAGTTAGAAGAATCAGCTCTGGTACCCTTAGGGTAGATCCTGGACATCTGTCGCTTGTTGTAGTTCACGAAGTCGATAGCCTGTGTCTTCAGGTAGTTCATGCCGGTGGTCTCCGCGAACGAAGACATGTTGTGGTAGATGTTCTTTTCTGGAAGACGAATATTTGGAATGTTTTTAGGCATATGTTATAATTATTATCAGCCGAATTTTAAGGTTTTCATGACTGTTCCCTATTGAGCAAAATTCCTTTATTACTCCTAAAAATAGTATTTATGAAGGTTTCATATTGATTTTTATCTTGATAATAGTATGAAATTAGGAATTTTGGGAATACTTATTTAACAAGATAGACGTATCGATCGACGATAGGTTTAGTGAAAAACTCTTTACCAGAAGTCTAGTATTTGCTGCCTACTTACTGTGCAATAGTTCCATCATGAAGTTCGGATGTCACTTTTTTCTTTTAAATAGAACTTGATGATGATGACATTTAGAATATTTATCTGCACATCATACTTACTGTCAGCCTCTTCGAAGCCCTGGAACTTGATGGGCTGTGCGTAGTTGACCATGGAGGATAACCAGGGGTGCACGTTGGTGGTGGACCCAGTGTACGCCACTGGAGGGGGAGCGTCATCACCTGCTGATGCTGCTTCAGCTACTATTTCTTCGGGCTGTTGGAGTGACAGGGATTTATTACTATTAGAACTTTTTTTGGAGTATGTTTTTTTTATGGCATAAGCCGGTAAACGAGCAGACGGATCACCTGATGGTAAGCAATCGGCGTCGCCCATGGACACCTGGAACATTAGGAGTTTGAGGATTGATCGTTGGGGATTCAGGAATTGGGGAGATTGGGGAAGGGGAGGGTAATTGGGCCTCCGGTAACCTCACTCACACGACGAAACATAACGCAAGCGTTGCTTCACGTCGGTTTTCTGTGAGGCCGTGGTATCACTCCGGTCGAGCCGGCCCATTCGTGCCGAAGCATGGCTCTCCCACACTTTGCATGTATGTATACATGAGTTGATATAAAAAGCCATCATTTAAACTTAAATTGTTTTTTACCAACCTTCTTATCCGGAATAGCAACGGCAGAAGCGTCTTCCTTCTCCTCATCCTCAATGACGAACTGTCCCTGACGGAACAGCTCGAGCTCCTGTTTCTCCACTTCAGGCTTCAGCCGCTTGTTTTTGATGAGAATCTTACGCTTCAGGGCTGAGGGTGGTGGTAGAGGTACTCCAGGCTCCAACTGGAAACGTAATTCGGTATAGTTATAGTTGTTCGCTATGAGTTGTACGTAAAAATGGAACTTCTAGAGATCTCATTGATCTCTTGGTAATGATCACAATATTTTTATTGGCCCTATTAAAAATCTCCGCTTGAATTTATATCATAGCTGTTAGCTAAAACTAAAGGTCTTGGCTCGTGTATTTCCTTTGGGGGTTATGTTAGTATATAAAGCCTAATATCATCTATCTCACATTTAATATCATCCTTTACTTTTACATTTCTACGAACAAATCTAACCCAAAATTTATAATCCAAAACTTCCTTCCCTATCACGATACTCACAGGATGTTCCGGCAAGGCTTCCTTCAGCAGCAGATCTCCGAGGATCTCATCACAGTACTTCGCCAGCTTGTACTGCTGGGCCTTGCAGCAATGGTTTTCAAAGGAGAGGATCACAGGATAATCTGAAGTCACGAACGCAGTGTCTCTTAGCGCATAGATCACGTCTTTGAAGAGAATATCTGTGCACATGGCCATGCCGTGGGTGATGATTGGTTCCTCATCTTCCCCTTTGCCGTCCCAGCAGTCGAGTTCCACGCACCTGGAATATGGGGGAAATATCATAGTGAAATACATATTTACGAAATGAAATATTTATTAAAAACCAAGCCACTACCTAGGTACCTACTTAGCATAATATCGGCTTTTCCATTTTGAATCAGTACCTACGAGTAATAGTTTAGAAAATAGACTTTTCCATGGGATTAAAATCGTAACTTAGAGGTAAAACAAGAATTAACCTACGTTAAGATAGTTCCTAACAAATAAATCTCACAATCAAACTACATAACACATTTCATACATCTATCTACTAACCCTTTACGGATGGGCTCGCTGCCATCGCAGCGGTAAGTCCCCTCTTTGAGGAGTGGCTTGAGAGACGCTACGGCGTCCTCACCTACCGCCTGACGCAGGTCCTCACCGGACATGGCAGTTTCGGGAGGTACCTGTGTCTGATGGGGCGGGAGGAAACGCCCGGGTGTCATCACTGCGAGGACCGCCCTGAGGACACGGTGGAACACACGGTGGGAGAATGCCCTTCGTGGGCTGAGCACCGCCGTGTCCTCAGGGAAGTGATCGGCGATGGCGACCTCTCGCGTCCGGGCCTAGTGCAGGCCATGATGCGGAGCGAGGGGGATTGGGATGCCGTCTCCTCCTTTTGCGAAGCAGTCATGCTAGCTAAGGAGGAGGCGGGACGCGTGAGGCAGCGAAGCGCTGCCTCCTCGCAACCCAGCCATCGCGAAGGACACACCGGGCGTCGGGGATCGCGGGACGATCTCCGGCCACCGTAAGCGCGGGCCTGCGGACGGCGAGCATGGGTGGCTCCCCGTCCGACCAGAAACAGACCCGAGCGTACGGCGCGTCGCGTTCCGCGCGCGCCTCAAAGAGCCATCAGACCACCACAGATGGGGTCCAATAGGGCCGATGCCGATTCGGAGTCGCGGAGAACCTAACGGGTAACCGGGGCTCCGGCTCGACGTGCAGGAGAAGGAACGGGGTGGTTTTTAGTCAGTAAGAGTCTGACACTCCCTCCCGCCTCACCCAGGCGGGGGCAGTCATTCGATGATTTTCCCCCCTTAAAAAAAAAAAAAAAAAAAAAAAAAAATCCTTTACGGAGTTGAACGTCCTAAATAACAGCCTCCTAACAAAAGCAATTAAGCATACAGCATCAGAGATTAGTAACAAGAGAAGAGAAACTAACTTCTCTAATTAATACGACGAAATTAATATGTTTGTCGACGGATTCATACTCAACCGCAGTTTAGTTGTGAACTTTTAACTAGTGTAACTTAGACTGACTTTGATTTAGATTGACGGAAGCAAGATTATTTTGTTAATTTGTAAAAACGTGAGGCCAAACCAAGAGCAATAGTGATATTGTATTTATTATAAGTACGTTCTGCCTCGTAAGCCGAGTGCTCGCAAGTGCGACTACCGGGCGAGGGGTCTCGGGTTTGATTCCCGTGTCGGGCAAAATATTATTAGGCTTTTTAGAAAATATCTCAGTAGTAGCACGGAGTCTGGAAATGTGCCCGGTATATGGCAATGTGGCAATAGGCTCATCCCCTATTACATGGGACTCATAACACAAATAGTGAAAAGTGGGTGTTACTTCTGTGTGCACCTCTGCCTACCCCTTCGGGGATAAAAAGGCGTGATGTTATGTTATGTTATGTTATAAGTACTTAAGTAGCAAATGTTTTTATCGACATAAAGAATGATTAAAGGCCGATTTTTCCAATGCCAAACAAATTTAACTGACGTATAACTTTGAATATTTGACAATTCTTCCATACTAAATACTGTGAAATGTCAATTTTATTCACAGTTAAGTTTGTAATTGAGAAATCGGCCCTAAGAGTGACGAGAATCGATTCTAAAACTTCAGCGGCCTACAAGCTATAGTGATTAAAAGCTAGAACTTTAAGAAAATTCTAAGTATAGGATTTAAACAAGATCCTAGGCTTTCAGGGTTAACCAGTCTTTAAAATTTAGTAGCACCATTGATTTTTTTTAAGGGGGGGAAAATCTTCGAATGACTGCTCCCGCTCGGGTGAGGCGGGTGGGAGTGTCAGACTCTTACTGACTAAAAACCACCCCGTTCCTACTCCTGCGCTTCGAGCCGGAGCCCCGGTAACCCGTTAGGTTCTCCGCGACAGCACCATTGATTACGGGCAAAATATAAAACAAGACCTATCAGTTATGACAGTTATGTATGCCACAAAGGACAATTAAAATAACAAACTAGAAAGAAAATTCTTGATACACAATTTTCGAACTTGTTACAATTGATTTAAAGTCATATTTTACCTGCATCCAGCCAACAGGACCTGCCGGTACATCTCCACGGAGCTCTTGCCGCCGAACTGTCTACCAGACAAGTAGGTGTTGTGTGAAGAGTTGATGTAGTAGTGAGCCAGGGGCTGGTCCATGTCCATATAGTTGTCCAGCCTGTCCAGGAACACTGGGGCATTCTCGTCAGACATCAGGTAGCGGATCAGACCGTCTTTTGTGAGGCATTCTGGAATATTAGATGTTTGTTTTAATAAATAAGTATTATATGACTGTAATGTCTGTTTGCCTGGTGTATTGTGAGCAGAAACACATATAAAAAAGTTATTTTATCTCGGTTTCCAGATTCTGTGTACGTCTATTGTTATTATTACTGTTATTTCATTTTAATTCTAAGTTGTATTGTATTTTGTTTCGTGTAATTTTTTTGTGTCCAACTTTATCAAATGTTTTGTAATTTTACTACATTTTCTCATTTACCTTTAACACCTTTTTATATTATGTACTTTAATTTAGTTTTCTTTTTTTATATTGTTTGTAATTTAATTTGATTAATGTAATTGGTGTATACCGTGTTAATCAATAAACAAAATAAAATAAAAATAAAATAAATTAAAAGCAAGAAAGCATTTTTTGCTGTTGTCCTATGAAAGAGATCGCAGAGGTGCACATTTTAAAAGTAAAACTTTTTTCAGTTCTTCTATGGGTGTATTAATCACTTTCATAACGAATAATTTTGAGAAAATCGAAATACCGATTTATGGAAGTATTTTGTGAACGCAGCAACTTAATCTGAGAAATCTTTTATTTCACAGTTGCATTTGTGCTCGACCAGTGAGAAAACCGACTTCTCAAGAACAGATATATAAACCTAAATAAATCTATCTTGGACTGCCACTGCCGGGCAAGGGGTCTCGGTAGCCGGGTCGGGCAAAGTAGGTATTACTGTCCTTTTTTAAAAAATCTCAGTAGTAGCACGGAGTCCAGGATTGTGCCCGGTATATGGCATTAGGCTCACCCCCTATTACATGGGTCTCATTCTTACTAATATTATAAATCTGAAAGTGAGTTTGTTTGTTTGTTCCACCTTCACGCCGTAACTACTCAACCGATTGCTTTGAATTTTTGCAGACATAAAGTTAGAAGTCTAGATGAAATAATAGGGTACTTTTTATCCCGGAAAAATTCGATATTCCTGATTGAAAACAACAGTGTTGGTATAGATGGCGCTGTGTGTATTGGTATATGTCACATAGGCTACTTTTACATATATAGTGAAAAGTGGGTGTTACATTGTACAGTGGCATTAAGTGCCGTAAGGTGCACCTCTGCCTTCCCCTTCGGGGATAAAAAGCGTATTGTTATGTTAAACATAATTATCTTCTTAAATATCTATGTCTTCAATTTTGCTAAAAATGTTAACCAAAACCCTCTTATAGCCAAGTGGTCACAAATAAGCCATCAAGATGCAGCAGTGAACATCTGCATTTTGGCATCCACACAAAACTGACTACACAAATTGTTTGCTGACAGCTTTTTAAGTTTTCACTAAAATACTCGATTTAGACCTGTGCCAACAGAAACCACTCCTAATCTGCTTTTTATTTGCAGACTCAGCTGCCAATATGCAGATGCAAAATGCAGTAGAACTACAGTATTATTTACGGTTTGTGTGATCATATAGAAAATGTCTGCGGAGAATCTACATTAGTTCTATTACTGCACCATTATGCCCTTCCCTAAACCCGAAATCGGATAACATACGGGACTTTTCGATATTTCTGATAAATAAAATTACATAAATACAAATAAATACATACAATACGCATATTAATTTAATTTTACAATTTTTGTCTGTATGTTCGTTTATACTGGCTAATCTCTGGAATGGCTGGACCGATTTTGCAAGACTTTAATGGGCAGCGTAGCAAATGTATGAAGGAGTGACATAGGCTACTTTAATTTTAGAAAATTAAAACAAAAAAAGTTATGTTCTGAATTAATATACTACGCGGACGAAGTCGCAAACTTACTGTCATTCTTCGCCTCATCGCACTGTTCATACGTGTTGATGATCTCAGCAGCTCGCTTCTCATCATAGAGGGGGTACAGGATCTCGTTCAGTCGAGGATCTCGCTGCTTCTCATTCAAGAAGTTCACGAACTGGTCCAAGTTGATGCGGTCTGATTTGCCCTGAGTGCTGTGGGACATAGAAATGGTAGGAGTTAAAACAAGGAGACTAATATTTTGAGAAGGTTTAATTGTGATTTTCGAGTGTTATGCCCTCATATTTTTCGTTTTCATAATACAGAAAGGTAAAAAGATAAAACTTATCAAATTATTTGTATAGAAGACATCAGGATTAAGGTTTTGATGTAGTTTTGGTAGATCTCGGCATACAGAAGTTTTGTTTGTGGAGAATGTAAGGCCGCCGCCTAGCTTTAAAGTTTACACCAGTTGGTACCTTTTTGACAGGGTAGAATAAGTGGAAAAGCTATTTCGGAAGATACGTCTGTGGCGACGCATGCCACATGTCAACGGATGACGTCACAAGAATCCTACATCGCACATGCAAAGTTTACATTCGAATAAACACGGATAGAAAATCCCAACGAACAACTGTTGGGCAGAAAGCCCGCCAGGCACGATCACCTCGCCTGGTCGGAGGATCCTCCTTTTCCGATCTTAGGGAACTATACTCTCTGTTCCCTAAACGTCTTACTAACCATTCACGAAATGTTTTCATATTTGACAAAAACCCTGTACCCACTCTTTCTTATTTGGATTTAAACCATTACGTTTTTACAACTAGATTGAAAAGCAATACAATTTATTTCCTCGATCCATTCCTATTCAATCGAATTCAATCATCCATTACCCATAAACGGCTCTGGAATTCTATCTATAGATAAATCGCTAACGTAAACTAAGGTACGGGTTTAAATCTTAACCTTCCCGACCTCTGTCTCAGAGGGGTCGTTTAACGGCACTCTGGGAATTGTATCAAGCGGATCGGTAGATAAATTTACTACGTAATCACTTTTACGTGGTTTTTATTATCCTCGTGTCATCCTGGTGGTCCAGAGGTTTAAGACGCCCGCTTCTCATGCATGAGAGTGCGGTTTCGAAACCTACCAACGGCAAGTACCAATGTGACTTTTTCTGAGTTACATGTACTTTCTAAGATTATGTAGACACCACTAACAAACGGTGAAGGAAAACATTATGAGGAAACCTGCGCTTATAATCTAATTATAAGTTTGTTATCGCCAACCCACATTGAGCGTGGTGATTAATGCTGAACCTTCTCCTGTGAGAAGAGGCTTTGTTCAGGAGTGGGTATTTATAGGCTGTTGATAGTGATTATTCCCGTGTTGCTATCCTAAATCTAAAGTGGGATATAAGCGTGTTGAGACACGGGTTCGGGTTGTAATTAAAAGATACGACAAAGTTCCACTCCATATAATAACCAAAAAATACTTAGGCTAATTACAATGTGCGCGACCCACTCGCAACCCGACAAGCCCGTGACTGCCCTACGTTGCATAAATGCGACGTTGCAAAACCTATGCGGTGCATTGTCGTCGCTACAAGCGTTTTAAGTACTGACAAAGACAAAGAGACGGTCGGACGGACTGAAGAATTTGAGAGGTAACTTAACATAAATATGGTAAAATTCGACTTTAGAGACTAGCTGTCCTTAGACAATAATTATTTGAATCGTACAATAATATTAATACATTTGCTGACTGCAAAATATGCTGGTTTTCAATTGTTTTTTAACAAGAAGACTATTTTTCTGATTATAAGAAGAATACGTATAAGAATCCTATTAGATCTGCAACACACAAGGTACTAGAAATACCGTAAATCTCACCGAACGGCAATAATTTAGTGGGTAATCCGTATCGTTATCATATCACATTATCCGTAATCCTCTTTGAAAAAGGATTACACTAACGGAATCTGCTATCAATACGGCTCGGAGAGAGGTAAGACCTCTATCTCCTCTATCTTAACCATGGAGTGTCTTGCTCGGTCTTCTTTATACTTTGGAATGAAGAAATAGATTCACTAGGGGGACTAACAGATAGACATTTTTAAACTCCACCCGTTTGTAATATTTATTTTGTTTAGGTTATGGCTAACGTTTGTGTACTGATCACCTAGATGGCACTAATGTAGCTTAAGGTCTTCTGTAAAAAAATGACTTTCCAATGTAACACATAGAAATTCTCTATTGGACAAACGGGACCTCATTATTACTCTCAGCGCAGTCATGCCTAATTCCCCCCCAGGCTCCCTAATCCCCGAATCCCCCACAATCCTCAAATTCTCAATTCCCAAAAGGCCAGTAACACACTTGTCGCCACTGGTGTTTCAGGTGTCCATGGGCAGCGCCGATTGCTTACCATCAGGTGACCCTGCTCGTTTACCGGCTTATCTCATAAAAAAACCATTAGCCTTCATTGAAATCTATTTAACTATGACTAAAATGTACTTACATAGACCGAAACAGTTCCTCAATATCATTTCTAGGACAGATTTTGTGATACAAAGCGTAGAACTTGTCAAAGGTGAATGCTTCCTTCTCCATTGCTTCATTCTTTCCTGATGGGAGACCAAGTTCTGATAGACACTGGTATACTAGTTTCTCAGTCTTGCCTGATGCGAAGGTCCTGGCGACCACCTTAACTGGAACCTTTCCTCGAGGGTCTGTTAGGAAACAGAGGCGCATCCAACTGGAAGAAGGAAGAACTGATTAGTTGGGAGATTTTGTAGCCTTTAAGGTTTTGGTGTAGAGGTATACATCACGTTAATGGGTAGTAGGTGTGGCTATCTATAATTATTTTATTTTTTTAGTTAAGTGACAGGTTTGCTATACACCATATGATTAATAGGAGCTGTAATAGGTACTACGAATAAAGCTTAGAACACATTCGACACCCACTTAGTAACAAAATAATTGATGGATAATTATTTTTGGAAATAGTTTTACTGAGAATACAAATAAGAGTGCTTGTTACTGGTTAGTAACAAGCCCACGTTATTATTTGGAAACGCCAAATAGAGTGAAAAAGAGCACAGACTAAATCCTCTTTTATATCGATAGTAAGAAAGAATAACTTGGATATAAAAAGTCTATCAATGAGATTAACTATTATGTTTTACGGTTTGATCACGTAATACTAGTCGAGTTCCTCGTCAAATAATTACGTGAGTAAGCCGAAAAATATAATAATTAATTTAGTATGTATATAAGAGAGTTATAAAATGGTATCTATGAGATTAACTTAAAAAGTTAGCCGTTGCTTATTCCTATAAACTTTACAGTAAATGTAGTGTCGTGGTGGCCCGGAGGCTTCTCATGCATGAGGGCGCGGGTTCGAAATCTACTAACGGCAAGTACCAATGTGATATGTTCCGAGTTATATGTACTTTCTACGATTATCTAGGCACCACGAACAAACAGTGAAGGAAAACATCGTGAGGAAACCTAGGCTTATAATTTCTAATTATAAGTTATCACCCACTTTTCATTATTTATGTTATGAGTCCCATATAATACGGGGTGAGCCTATTGCCATATACCGGGCACAATTCCAGACTCCGTGCTACTACTGAGAATTTTTAAAAACCCAGTAATACCTTGCCCGACCCGGGAATCGAACCCGAGCCCCCTTGCCTGGCAGTCGCACTTGCGACCACTTGGCCAACACAAAAAAAGTTATACCCTAAAATGCATATTCTACGCGGAAAAAGCCGCGGGCAATAGCTAGCTTACCTAATACATAAATTTACCTATACCAAGCTACGATCCTTCTAAAGTGCATAAAGCACCATATCATATTCATCTCAAAACATCAAGTATCCTATGAATAGAGTTGTATTCAATGCTTTGTTCACAAGGCGTCCACATCAAGCTATGCAAAACCAGTATAAATTGACCGTCGAACGTGAGAGAAGTTCATACAAACAGAGGTCATGATAAAGTGGTCTTGTATACCTTGATGTGATTTAGTTATAGAACATTGTATCGGGGTGTAAGGAACACGAACAATGTCTATTTTGACTTCCATTTTGTTCCCCCTTTCAAAGACATGACAAACTCTTTGTTAATTAATAATAGCGTCTAGTGCTCATTGAAAATGGAAATCTAGACTGCTTTAGGTTTGTGCGATATGACGGTTCAATGGGAACGTTGATGCTATTGAGATAAGATCTCACTACAATATGTGTTGTTGTAGGTCATGGTCTATTAATAGGCTTTTTTTAAGGGAGAAAAGTCTTCGAATGACTGCTCCCGCCTGGGTGAGGCGGAAGGGAGTGTCAGATTCTTACTGACTAAAAACCACCCCGTTCCTTCTCCTGCATGTCGAACCGGAGCCCCGGTAACCCGTTAGGTTCTCCGCGACTCCGAATCGGCATCGGCTCTGTTGGGCCCTATCTGTGGTGGTCTGATGGCTCTTTGAGGCGCGCGCGGAACGCTCGGGTCTGTTTCTGGTCGGACGGAGACCCATTCTCGCCGTCCGCAGGCCCACACTTACGGTGGCCGGAGATCGTCCCGCGATCGTCTATTAATAGGCTAAGTTTCGTTAGGTACAGCTTGACAAAGAAGAGTTTGACGCGGTGACAGCTGGAACTACTGGACTTGGACTGAATCATCCACTTTGGACTATATCCTATGGATAAACAATGATCCGAACATAACACCTACCTCCTCTTTTTCCTAACAAATATCAAAACCGATTGAGTCGCTGTGTACCGGGTTGTCACAGGTACGATACTAGCGAGTAACTAGCGACGTCAATTTTTCCAAATTTATTTTTGGCAAGCTGTATATTGTTGACTAGTTTTTAACTTAAGATCATAACATAACGCCTTTTATCCCCGAATGAGAAGCCAGCGGTGCACATTACGGCATTTAATGCCAATGTACAATGTAACACCCATTTTTCATTTTTTATGTTATGAGTCCCATGTAATACTGTGAGTCTATTGCCATATACCGGACACAATTCCAGGCTCGTGCTATTACTGAGAATTTTTAAAAACCCAGTAATACCTACTACCTACCCGACCAAGGAATCGAACCCGAGACCCTTTGCCCATCAGTCGTACTTGCGACCACTCGGTCAACGAGGCAGTCCTAGTCCTATTAGTTGGGGTGCGGTGCCAGAAGACCTCCCCGTGGTGCACCCTGGGTGCGGGCGACAGTCTCCCTAGCGGGGGTGATAGGGTTGGAGTGACTGTCGCCCGCAGCAGACTTCTGGACTGGGCGGGCGAACCCGATAGGGTTCTGGAGGCGGCGGGCTGTGTGCTCATGCCCGCGCTTCCGAGGGGCGTTTTCTCCGCCCGTCTCTCTGAACTTAGCAGAGAGCGTGGCGGAGGGCAAGGCGGTGCTCGTTGTGCACTCACCCTGCCAGCGAGCAGCATCGGGACACAAGCTGTCCCCGATTGCAGCCGTCGATATCGTAATCCGTAAGGAGGTCACGGTCATGTTTTGTGACTCTGAACGGGACGAGGGTCTTGGCTTGGTCGCCCGGACCGCGAGGAAGATAACCTCTATAAAAAATTCCTCTAATACTAAGTTCTGGTGCGCGGCGAGAGTATGCATGGCTGAGGAGTAGTGTCAGTCGCGAGCGCACCCCCAGCTAGGGGACCAGTGGAACCTCTAGTTGGGAAACAAATTAACACTTACCCAGGTACAGGGGGCACTGCCTGGGTGGACCGAATATTTCCCCCATACTCGTGGGAACTTTATGGAGAAAGTCAAAACAAAAAAAAACCACATTTGGAGGAGGAGAGTGCGGGTGAGCTTGGCTCGCCTGCAGTAGCAGGAGAAGGGAGCCCAAGTGGCTCCGGGACTCGTGGTGAGGCGCTGGACTCGTCCAGCAGGCCCCACACACGGGAGTCTAGTCGGAGGGGGTCGGACTCAGAGTCCGACACAACATTGGCGGAGCGGCTGAGCGTGAGCTCGAAAGGCTCACGCCGCCGCGCGACGGGGACGTTCAAACGCCCCAGGCTGGAGGAGGACAGTTTGTCCCCGTCCTCCGGCGCTCAGGAGGCGCCTCCCCCCAAGGTCCCCACGGCAGCGCGGGGTAGGGGCGGCAAGGGCAGCGGTCGCCGGAAACCGGCACCAGCTGCCTGCGCGGAGTCAGCCGAGCAGCTGGCCGCGGAGGGCAGGGCTCTCTCAAGCGCTGCCCGTTCGGAGTCCTCTGCGGCCGAGATGTCCGGCGTGGAGATGTCGGAGGGCGAGCGCGGCTCTGAGAGCGAGAGCTGCTCCGGGGGCCTCGAACAGGCCATTACGGCGGAGCTCTACAAGCTGGCGATGGGGAAATCCCAGCCGGTTAGGCTCCGCCTCCTCAAGGCGGCGGCGGCCACCATTACGGAGGCGGCCTTGGAGCAACGTGCGGTGCCCACTGCGGGAAACGTGCGCTCTGAGCTGGCCGAGATGCGGCGAGAGCTGGCGCGCTTGGCGGCCTCTAACGCGGCTCTGGAGGCCGAGCTGCGGACGGCCAGGGCCGAGCTCGCCGCTGCTCGCGGCAGTCGCCCCCAGCCCCCGGCGGAGGCCGACGTAGTCGGACTGCTGCGGGCGGAGATGGCTGCCTTCCAGCGACGTTTCGACGTGCTGGAGGGTAGGCTCTTGCGGCCCCCGCTCGCGACGAGTCAGGTCGCCCCCGCGGTCCCGCGGTCGTACGCGGCCGCTGCGGCCAAGCCTTCGACCTCGGGTCAGGCTAGCCGCAGCTCCCAACCGCCGGCAAAGGCGCGACCGGCTGCCCCAGCGAGGGCCTCGGCGCCCCCGCCGGCGCAGACCCCGGCTGCGCCGACGGCGCCTGCGCCTGCGCCCGCTGGGCGCAAAAAGAGGAGGGGCACTCCGCCCGGCAGGCTGGGTTGCGGCGGCGGCGGCGGAACCCGCCCCGCAAGCAGAGGATGGCGGCGGATGGCAAATCGCCGGCGAGGCGAGGAGAGTCGCCAAGGAGGGCCGGAAGCGCCGAAAAAGGCGCAGCGGCAACGACGGCAGCAGCAGCGCAGGGAGAAACGCGCTGCTGCCCTCCTCGCCCCTAAGACCGCGGCTGTGGTCATCACCCTACAGCCTGAAGCGGTCAATAGGGGCGTCACATATGGCGACGTCCTCGCCAAATTAAAGGGGGCGGTGACTCCTGCGGAGTTCGGGGCCCCGGACGGGTTCGCGGTCAAGGTGACCGCTACCGGAGCCCGTCTTTTGGAGGTCCCCGGCGCGACCAGCGGCCCATCGGCCGACGCCCTGGCCGAGAGGCTTAGGGCGTGCCTCGGTGCGGACGAGGCCCGCGTGTCCAGGCCCACCAAATGCCTGGATGTCAGGATTTTGGGCCTGGACGACTCCGTCACGGAGAGTGAGGTGGTGGCCGCTGTGGCCAGGACGGGAGGGTGCCCTGCTGACCAGGTCAGGGTGGGCACCATACGTCCGGACAACTCGGGGCTGCGCACGGTGGTGGTGAGCTGCCCCGTCACAGCGGCCAAAACATTAAAGGAGGGCAAAAGGCTCTTAGTGGGATGGGTCTCGGCGCAGGTCAAGCTGCTCGAGACCCGGCCTCTGAGGTGCTACCGCTGTCACGTGGGGGAGCACGTGAGTGTCAAATGCACCTCGGAGGTGGACCGCAGCGACTGTTGCTTCCGCTGCGGTCGGCCCGGTCACAAGGCCGGCTCGTGCAACGCCCCGCTGCACTGCAACGCATGTGCAGCGGCTGGCAAGCCGGCC